CGATCGACCTCCTTTCGTATCATGTTCTCCTAATACAAAGTCGAATTTTTGGACAAAAATTTTCGGTCGTTCAAGTGTTTCAATAGTTCCTGGAATTTTAGAGTTTCCTAGAATTTGACGTCATTTCCAAGAACTGTTAAAATTCTTGGAAGAGTTTTTCGATCGATCTCCTTTAGATTTATGTTCTCCTAATACAAAGTCGGAAATTTTATAAAAAGTTTCATAGTCTTAAAAGTTTCGATTATTCTATGAATTTTTCGTTTCCAAGATCATTTTAAATTTGAGTTTTTTTCAACTTATATATTTACTTTTTATACCTACCTTTTTTATACTTACCTTTTTAGATGTTACGTTTTTAAAATGGATATTTTTTTATCATTTCACTTAATGCTATTTATACAATTTTTACGATCTGCATTATACTTACCTTTTATTAACTCAGATTTTTTTTTTAAGATATATATATTTTTAGGAAAGGGAAGTAAGGAAGAAATAAAATGAAAATAGAAGATATATGTTCAATATATATTTGTTTATTAAATAACAAAGTTACAGTACATATAGTTTATACATATATGAGTATATTACATATTATACTATTATATTATATATAATATATATGTATGTTGGAATGGTCCTTATTGTACGTTGTCTTGATACTTCAGGGTTAACTTCAAGATGTTGCATCTCGTTGAAATGATGACGGCGAAGTAAGGATTCCTGTTGAATGTGTCAGCATGAGAATCATGTTGTTGATTGGTCTTGTTCTCATGGTGATTAACTTCTGAATAGGCTTCTATCAATTTATATTCTCCTAATACAAAGTCGAAAAATTAGTTGTAAATTTCGTTCGTTTAAAAGTTTTGATAATTTCAAAAATGTCACGTCATTTTCAAGAATTTTAGGAATTCTAGAAATTTTATATCATTTCCAAGAACTGTTAAAATTCTCGAACGACCTCCTATCAACTCATGTTCTCCTAATACAAAATCCAATTTTTGAGATGCAAAAATTTTTATCCGAATATTTAATTTAGTATTAGGAGAATATAATTTAATAGGAGGTCGCACATAGTTTTTCTAAAATTTCAAGGCTGATATTTTTTCCAGTTTTATACTATTTTTATCAGGACAATATAATCGCGGAGGAGGTGGCGTATATAATTTATAGTACTTTTTTTTATATTTGCCTTTTATACTTACCTTTTATACTTACCTTTTTTACTTACCTTACTGTACTTACCTTTTAAGTCAATCATATTTTCAGCCAATTATCATTTTTTAACAGTTTACTTAATTCTAAAGGATTGAGGATCATATAAGATGGGATATCTAACTATTATGTTGAGACAGAATGTATGGTGTAATCCTAAAATAAAAGGAAAGAAAGGAAGAAGAAATGTTATAGCTTAATGGTGAATATTGGGGTTTTTTCCATTTTTTTTCATTTCAATGTTAGAATAATATATTTAAATATTATGTAAATATAACGAAAGAAAATATGAATACGAATGAAAATTTTGTTACTAGGGTTGCCTAGCAAACTTGTGTCGTAATACATTCGAGATCGATGACCTATTCGTTGAGCTATACCACTTGCCAGTAGTTGAGGACACGATGACTGTATCATTTCTAAGTGCAGATCAATGTTACTACCTAAGTCTCGTATTGTAGTTAAAAAAATATGATAAAAAATTACATATTAAAATATAAATTATAATAATTTCTCGAAGTACATTGATTCCGAATTTATTAAGACATTAATCGTGAGAATAATTATATGAATTTTTTTACAGTCATTCCAGTAACGATTATCACGATGTAAATTTTTTAAAAAAGCGTGATACTAACCGCATGATGCATAAAGTACCCGTGTGTGTATATATGCTTACGTGCTTCGT